TTATTATTATTATTATTATTATTATTATTATTATTACATTAGAGAAAATAGCTATCAACTATATGGTCCTATATGAAGCTGAGGCCTCGCAAAGTTCGATGCTCGAAATTTTAAAGTGTTTGAAAAAGAATAATTACTCAATGCACAATCTTCCACCGAATGTTATCGTTTCACCTTGGGCGTATTGACGAAATAGCTTTTTCTGAATGGTCAATGAGGCTTTGCTAGCGCCTTTGAATTCTAAGAGGTCCCAGAAGTGCTAATCGGGCAGTTTTAGGTCGCCGGGGAATTTCTCGTGAAATGGAAAACTAGTATTATTGAAACTAATCTTGATATTTTAATTAGAAAATAAAATTATCGACTATCACTTCCTTCACAAGTAAATTCAATGGAAAAATATTTTACAAAGCCACAATCGCGCGCCAGGTACAATTGAGTAACCTTATTCTTGGACAAAGGAATAAAACGGTTAAAGTTTTGGAAAATTCAAAATGCTTATTTAAGGCCACGATCTCTTCTTGAGCCGACACAGCACTACACGACATCAAGAACTGATGTATTCTCGGAACTTCCTAAATTTTATATTCGAAGCAATTAGCACGAACAACAAACTTAAAATTGAACCAAAATGTGACAGAAAGTCAGAATCCCCATTTTCCTACTGCTACTTTTTCTCAGGTTTCCTGGAAATAAATTCGATCTCAATTGAATAGCTAGTTGTGTTGTGTAATTTACTTTAGTCAAAAAAAATACGTTAACTGTAAAAGAAGTATGGTAAATATCTCCTAGTTCCTAAACGAATGCAGTGTGTGTGACTATTTCTTCACATTTGCAAATCAGTGGGAAAATTGTATCAATTTTGCGCCTCGTTCAATAAGGTACCCTTATTAATGAAAAAAAGGAAGAAAACTGTTAGATTTTTGGAAATATTAAACTATTATACAAGAACATGATCTCTGTTCGAAACTGTCGCAGCACTGCTCGACATCAAGGACTGATATTGTTCTCGTGACTTCCAAAATTACAATTCCAATTTTTGTTTTCCGCGGGCGTGACCACTGTTCTCTGCCATTTTTGATAAATATATTCACATCAACGACTGGTTTTCAAAGAATAAATTAATATAAAATTTACACTTCAAATAAATAAGACAATCACAACTTTTTTGCCATTTACCCACATTTTATTTTCTAAGCAATTAGCATTAGCAGATTTAAAATTGAACCAAGGCAATTCATAGAATGACACTCTTGTTCCATT